CATAAGATTTTCGATGCTTTCCTTATTTGCTCTTAAAGATCTACAATTTAATTGTAAAATATTTATATTATCCATCTTAGGTTGGTATTTGTTATAATTATTTTTTCACTATCTTCTAACTTTCGTTAGAATTGACTACACTTATTTTATTGAGTATTTCATCTTTATCACGAATATCTATACCTGTTTTAATGTTCTGGTTTAAGTAATTCATAATGGTATGTGTATCCCATTTTAACTTATAAATAATTTCATCTATCTCTTTACTTTCTTTATTTCTCTCACATTCTATTTTTTCTCGAAGTTTCAAAGCCAATTCTATAAAATGATTTAATTGTCGTTTATTTTCTTCCTTTTTATTGGTCTTATTACTGTTTAGGCTTAGTTGTTCTTGGTTTCTTTTTTCAGGTTTTTCATTTATCTGGTTTCTGTTATATCGATTGATCGGCCTCAAGTATTCTGTTTGACGTTTATACATAATATTTCTTGGTTTATTCATTAACATTAATCTGTCTTTGTCAATGTTAATTTCTTGTTCATCTAAACTATTCAATAATTCATATTTATTTTTATGCCTGTGTGAATCCATTACGGTATTGCCATTTAGTCTCGGAAACGATGAATTAAACCCCGGATTGTACGGGTTGATCTTAGCAGCCTCAGCATATCCTTTTTTCCACATCCTGTTTTTAGCTTCAAGATAAGATATGTTATGTAGTGCCATCATTTCTTTTATTTCTTTATTTGCTTTGAAGAATTTACATTCTTTGTCGTTTGCTTGATGGTTTCCATAGCATACTGCACATATAAAGTCTGACACGATTTGGCAATTTTCATGAGAGTGTTCTTCTGAACAATATCGGCATCTTATCTTGCTTTTGCATTGATTTTTTAAATGTCCATAACGCCAGCATTTGTGGCATTGCATTACAGATTGAATGTAAGGACTGACAGCACACCTAACCGAATACATTGAGACGTATTCTGGCAGATAGTTACCCCTGAACACTATTTTTACCATTTGCGATTTCATATTTGTTTTTTCTAAGTTTCTTTTTTTAATGCATTTGACCTCTAATATTTTGATATCCGATCTAATAACATCCATGATTTCTTGCTCGTCCATGTCGGGTTCAACGTTAAAGATAATGCCGGTTCTGTATAATTTGTGTCTTGGGATGTACGTTCGTATATTAAATTTTTCCAAAATTTTCTCTTTGATTAATTTATTAGCATAAAAGTAGTCTTTAAATACTAATTTGATTTTGTTTCTCCCGATCTTTGAGATATCTATGATATTTTTGCTTATGTTAAGCGATTGTTTGAATATCAATCTGCCTAAAGCTAGATTATGAAATCTGCCAATGCTTTCGTTAGTTGATTCCGCAAAAACCGTGTACGGTCCTTCATCATATGGTTCATAATAATTAATTTCTTCGTTTATTTTATTATTTCTAGTGTTAACTTCATTTGTCATATTACTTTCTTCATCCATCATTTCTATCCAACTTTTACTTTTTTCAGTACTGCTGCAACCTGGATTATCCTCCATATTTTCATTTAATGTTGTTACTTTGTCTTTTTTAGAATCCAATTTTAACAATTTCTTGATTAATTCTTCGGGTACATTAACCATTTTTAAACTAGCTTTATTCTTGCTTCTTTTATTGTTTTTTCGCAACATAACTTTATTGTCATCACCATTTGTATTGTTTAAATTCACTTGATTTATCGATGTATTAATATCACTCCGCGAGTTATTATCCACATTGCTTGGCAAAACTGTTGTATCTAAAAATTCACTGTCGCTTTCTTCCGAAAAATCACTTATCATCACCTCATCATTATTTATAACATGAATCGATTTACCTATTTGGATACCTGTTTCAACCTCCGTGCTATTGTTTTCCTTATCTATAACTGCAGGTACTGATGCCCCGCCGGGTTCAAACGGTTTATACTCCATTACTTATGTAACTCTTTTATTGTAGTTACTAGTCGCTTCGATCCGTTCCGTTCGGTTGCTCGAGCTCGAATGTAGACTAACTTAAAATTATGAATGTCGAGTGTACAATATTTAGGTATAAAACAGCCCTTGTGTGAATGACACAGGGCAGAGGCTGCGATATTCTAGGAAGTGTAACGCAATACTCGGCGGCGCCAAGGCACGTCGCATTGCAAATGTCAAGCCGTCAGAATATATTCTGACCACAGACATTTCATTTAAAGACGCAACTGCCTCATTTCAAAAATATATATCTTAGCAACTAGTGTTTAGGTACCTGGGGTAGGATTACTGTCCTGTGACAACCTATATGCCCCTACCTTTATATTGCTGTTCCGAATGTACACACCAGGTTCTGAAATAATGTAAGTTTTTTAAAATCTATCCATAAATTACATTTATAAATTTTATTATTCTTACGGAATCTATCTTTATCCATCAAACAATTTTTCTCTAAATATGGATCCCCAATGAACCCTACAAATATCAAGCAAAATATGAATTACGTACAAATTATTAGCATACATTCACGCATTATAGAACAAACCTGGCATATTTAGAGTCGGCAGGGCATGAACTTTAATACGTCTTCTTGAATTATTTGTAAAGTTATTGACTTTGCAAATATCTGCAAAATGTGCATCGCAAATGAAACGGGAATTGCCACAATGCAAAGGACTATCCAACTATCCAATAGAGGATTATTAGCTCTTTCCACCCAAACTGCGAACAACTAGGGCATTTTCACTATATTTCATTATACATTTTTATCATATGAACATAATAATATCATGCGCATCATACATACCTCATTATTACTCGCAAGAAAGACGTGCAATGACGCGCCATATTAAACTTATTTATTAAATTTTCACTAAAACTTTTTAACAAAAACACGCATTCACAAACTTTGGTTATGTGTATGTGATCAAACTTGATAACTTCACGGGTCTTCCCCATTTGCACGAACGATTTGTAGTTGAATTTGAGTACACATGAGCCACCTGTTTTTAAAAATGACACTACTCAAGCTCAAAACAGTTCAATGCGCGTTTGTTCGGAAATAACTCCCCATGGTTTTACTGTTGAGAAGAGTTATAAAAAAACTTGGTGAATAATACCAATTGTTCAAATATAGTGTGTGCCATGGCCGGTAATCTCCGAACAAATGAATATTACCGTGTTTTGAAATGGTATTCGAATTGATCAAAGGATGGCGCTACGATTTCCAATTTCATTGATCTAGCATGATCTACCTTTTTTGATCTCCATTTTCTATAAGTTGTCATCGCGTATCGTAGTTGAGCTGTGTTATATTTGTTTTTCTGTGATTGTTTATATATAGTTATGTTTTGGTGAATACTTTTTTCATTTATTATTAAGTTAAAGTGATCAGTTTAATGGTAAAGGGTAATGTGCCAAATTGTGATAACTCCACAAATATAATAAAAAAATGCATGTCTTTCCGGCATCTAATTATCAGGTATGTACATAATGATGTATTATGCATATAATTAATATGTATCATGAAAATGTTCTTTAATGGATGACCTAACTCTTTGGTTTGTGGCAAAAATCGAATATAATTTGAAATCGAAACCAATTAGAAGAGTCTCCTTTCTCAATCTTTTATGCAGAACCAGGAGAACACTTTTCAACTCCAAGGACAAGGAAAAGTAATTATAACTCCAAATACTTTAATACCATTTGCAAAAAAATATTAATGAATGAATCTTATGTTCTTAGTTAGGAGATGAAAACCTAAAAACCATGAAAAAGATTTTTGCAGTACCCCTAAGGTACTTTTTTATAATAGTTGCAGCAATAATAATCAATTAATCAAATATGATATAACAATATGTTCAATAGAAATTTAATATAAGTCCTTGGTGGCGGCTGCAAATTGCTGCAGAATACAGTAATAAGGCGTAGGATTGCCTTAACACCCAGAAGATGTATGATACATCAAATTTTGTTCCGGGATTAAAAAAGATTAACAAACAATGCAATAATTTAAAGGAAAAATTGCAACAGAGTATACAATGTTCTGAAAAGTTTTGTAAATGTAAGGGCAAGAATTTTAATATTGTCTCAATTAAGAGAGTATACTAAAAGAACAGGCAGTTTTTAAACAGCAAGTTTAGTATAGTTTTAACTAAACCTCCTTGCAATAAAATCTGGATTAAAACGATAGATAGGTTTGAGCTACAATTGGCAGGAATTAAAAGTAGTTATGGGTTTTGGTTACTTATGTTTAAAAAACGACTTATACAGAAACTATTCAAAGATTTATTAATGCAACTATATTAATGATTGATGATTAGATAGCAAAATAACTATTAAATGCAGAGATAATAAAGAAGAATGTGTCATAAATGAACTTTAATCCTAGGAATTTAGTTTTCTCTCAGTTTTCATATCAATATATATATTTTATATTCTTAACATAAAACAAATACGCGTTACACTGTATGAGTGTTTTCAGCATATAGCAGTTTAAAATACAGTCTTTAACCAATTTATTAAACTTTAAAATCATCAAACCATGTCACCCAAGAACACCAACACGAAAGAGGCAAAAATCCCATACTAAATTAATTTTAAATACCAATACCTCAATTATAATCTACACAAAATCTTCACTGACACTGCTAAAGAACATGAGAAAATTAAAGAAATGCTAAGGGACTGCAACTATAGATGTTATACCTTACACGATCAAAGAAGAAATACCAAAGCAAATAACCATAACCGGTCTACATCCATCGATTACAGAGACAGACCAGAAATATGTCGTAACTAAGGTCGATAACAAACATTGGTGGATACATCTTCTCCCTGGGTAGACTATAGACCGCAGAACTGAGCGTTGCTTTGCCACAAATGTCTCAATTTTGGCCATATCTCTTACACATGCGACTTAAAGTACAGGTGTATAAAGTGCCTCAATGTGCACGCTTCAGGCGCGTGCCATAAACTATCACATGAGGCACCGATGCGTGTCAATTGCAAGAGCGAACACCCGGCAAATTACTCCAAATGCAGCGCTCTTATTAACTACAAGGAAAAGAGGGAAAGCGACGCTCTCAGGAGAACTCAAGCGTGTAGGCCAGCACCAACACCAGTGCCGCTGACGAGGAGCTTTTCGTCAGCTTTAAATACCACCAGCATTGGCCCAAATGTTAAATCAACGTATCCTCAACTCCCCATTCCACCGTCATCATTCCGACATCTGATCCAGTCCTCACCTTTACCGGTTGAGCCTACACCATCGTCGTCACCGATCAGGCCTGCACTATCGCAATCACCATTCCGGCCTCCCACCAGCCAGTCCGATCCAGATTTTAATAATCTTACACCTGTGACTTAAAGTACAGGTGTATAAAGTCCCTCAATGTGCACGCTCCAGGCGCGTGCCAGAAACTACCACATGAGGCACCGATGTGTATCAATTGCAAGAGCGAACACCCGGCAAATCACTCCAAATGCAGCGCTCTTATTAACTACAAGAAAAAAAAGGAAAGCGACGCTCTCAGGAGAACAAAGCGTATAGGCCAGCACCAACACCAGTGCCGCTGACGAGGAGCTTTTCGTCAGCTATAAATACCACCAGCATTGGCCCAAATGTTAAATCAGCGTATCCTCAACTTCCCATTCCACCGTCATCATTCCGAAATCTGATCCAGTCCTCACCTTTACCGGTTGAGCCTACACCATCGTCGTCACCGATCAGGCCTGCACTATCGTAATCACCATTCCGGCCTACCACCAGTCAGTCCGATCCAGATTTTAATACACCAGAGGGACTTTTTGCTGCTATGGGGGTGGAATCAGGATGCTGTTTGCTGATCCTCAGGTAAAACAAATTTTCAGTGAGCTTTACAAACTGACAAAATCACTAAACACCAACATGACATATAACGAGAAATATACGACAATACTTAACTTTTTAACAGCATCTCCATAAATCAAACGTGCGGCTTACACATAATGCACTCTAACTCTGACGGACTTAAAAACAATGTTGACGAACTGAGACAGGCGATAACAAATTATGACCTGGACATAGTACTGATTAACGAGACACACTTAAAACCTACGGACAGACTCCATAACTATATCAACAATTATAGGAAGGCAGCTTCTATCAACATTATAGATTAAAGATCTTCGTAGATCAATGTGTTCAATAAAATGGCAGTCTTAGTTTCGTCGAAGAAAAAAGTCTCATAAATCCAATAGTTTTGAGGTATTTGACAATAAATAGTGATAGCTCAAAGAAATTTATTTTTCATCTCCTGAATGTATGTAAGGAAAATACCTAAACTATAGATCAAATGGTATAATTTATTGACAAACGAAGATATTTCAATACTTACAGAAGTTATTTAAAGTTGTGAAGATTGATTTGTTTAATTCAATTGTGATTATGACAATCTTCGGACTTATCTGATCTTACCTGATCAAGTTCAAATTCTTACCGGCTTCAGCAAATTATTTATTTCTATATATATATATATATATATATATATATATATATATATATATATATATATATATGATTTAGTAGTTAATTTTGATGTTGAAATATATGAGTGAGTTCTTGAGGGCGATACATCAAACAAAGAAAAGCCAAAGATTTATAAAATAATCTTTATTTCCAAACGTTTCGACATTCAATTTAATGTCATCATCAGTGGATATTACGTTGGTTAGTTACATATAAAGAAGTGCACACAGCACTAGAGATTGGCACTAACATTTATACAACTAACTTGTCAACAAGTAAAACAAGATATTTAATCTTATAATTTTACTTATATATTTTTTCATTTACTGCTTTATTTAACGTCGCACATGATTTATTTTTGCCTTAACAAGATACTGCACATTTTGATTGATATAGGTATAAGAAACGAAAATACTTGGTTGATGTTTTCTGATTCGATATACATTTAGTATTTGTAATTCCTAATTTTAGATTCAAAATTAATCCTAGTATGCTTTTTATGTAATTATCTGTATCATGACAAATTATATATGTTTATTGGACCAAACAGCTTCGGGGTTTCAATGAAAAGGTGTTATTTTCAAATTTGTTATTGAACATTTTGGGCCCGTAGTTGTTCGCCTTCCTTAGCAAATGCTCTGCTTGTTTTTGTTAATTCAAGAGTTCATCTAATCATGGATTAGAACTCGCTCTTCTCGTATACTGTTATCAAAGGTAAAGCACACAGCACATACATTGAAAATAGTTCCATTATAGATTAAAATTTGGCACATACGTTGAAAATATTTTGATCATAGGCAAAATTAGGCAAGTTTGCTGAAAAGTGTTCCATCCTAGGTCAAGGTTGACATATGGGTTGAAAATGGATCGTAGATAAAAATACTTTTTTTAATGAATTAAATCATCTGAAATCATGTATATTCAATGAATTAAAAATGCAAATAAGATTAAAATAATATTTATTTTTACGAAAGATAAAAATAAATAAGCATTTCACTGTAATGTTATAATATATCTTATATATAAAAATGGAGCTATCTTTTAAATGTCCGAATAAAACTCAAAAACGGCTGAATCGATTTGGCCAGTCTTAGTCTTGAAAAATTCGTGCCAATCCAGAGAAAGTCCAAAAGGTGAGAAATTATTTCAAATCCGCGTAGAAACTTTACATTTTTAATTTGAAAATTTTTGTAGAAGCGTAATTTAAATAAAACAACGGACGGTGGCAATTTCGTGAAATGTCAAACGCTTTTGACAGATGATGTTCAATTACGTTTAATAGGATGTTTTACGCGAATATTATTTATTTATGATAAATTTGTAGTAAGTAGTTTTGTTTGTAGTTTTATTTATATACAAAAACCTTAGTAAAGGGGCCGCAAGTGTTACTAGAGACTCAAAATATAAACTTTTTTGATATGTTAATATGAAAATGCACTTTTTAGCATATTTTTCTCAAACACGGTGCTCTGAAAGATCTCATTTGTATAATTATACACTCATTGGTATTTATAAAACATTTTCTAGGTTATATTATATTTAAATTCAGAACCTAAATTTGGTATCGATCAAATGGACATTTTGTCTAATAACATTTTTCCAATTATAATTTTCCAGAATTTATCGCAGAATAGGTATTAATATATGAAGGTCCGGGATTAAAAAGGTCCCCCACCGATGTGCCAAAAATCAGTAAAGTTAAGCATTGTTTGACAACAATATTGGAAAATAGAGGAAAAAAGATGTATAGCCAGCTACAAACTTGATCTGAAAACGATAATCTTTGAAATGGGAGAGATAAACGGTAATCTTTGAAAATCCATAATTAAAGTATTTTCTTCCGTTGGTAGTTTTAGCATTAGTTAAAAATGTAATTATTTTGTAAAATACCTTTAAAATTATAATAAGGCTTTAAACCTTTTGCCACCTGCCCGTTACAAGTTACCCCGCATATAGGATAAAAAGGTCTAGATAACAAATTTTTGGTAGACATCAAAAAAGCACATTTCTACAATGATGAAGTAGAAGTCAGTTTACTGAACGTAGTCAGATAATTGTTCGTTTGATATGTCTTATTTGTTGTGATATAATTGTTATGGTTTTCACAATATAGTTTATATTTGCTCAAAGTCAAATTGGACCTTTGTGCCTCGCCCTGCTCTACATATATACTTTTTATTAAATTTACTTTAATTCATCGAATGTAACTTGAAACTTTTCAAAAAACAGGTCAAAGAAGAAATACTTAATTCATTTTCTATCTCTCCTCGCAAAATTTTGAAAATTTTGTATAAGCTCAGTAGTATTATTTACAATTATACACAAAATCCAGAATCCAAAAAGAATCCGAAAAACTTGAAACGTAATTAATAAGCCGAAAGACCAAAAAAGACTCGGATTGGGTTATACGATGTTTTCTGTAGAAAGTGCATAAAACTTGCAGTTTCATTGTATTGACAAAATATAGACAAACTAATAGGGTTTATTGTTTTTATAATACCTAATTGTATACAGCATTCAAACAACACATCCTTATGCACTTAGAGTACTGATATTATTAATTCTCTAGAAATGGTTTAGAATATACCTTATTTAGCAAAACAACGTTTGCCGGGTCAGCTAGTTTAATATAAATATATAAGCATAAATATAAATCCAAGTTACAATTACAAGGATACAATAACCCTAACCTAACAAAATAATACAATAAAAACCCTAAATAAACCTAACTAAATTTAAAAACTAATCTTGTCTTCTGTTCTTCTCTTCATTTCTAGTGTTTCTGTTCTGTGCATGACGACGCCATCCTCTAATGCAAGGATGAGCAACCCGCGGCCCGCGGGCCGCTTGCGGCCCGCCGGATGTTTTTCTGCGGCCCGCCAAGCATTTCTCAACAACAGATTATTATTCTAGATATTTTATCAAATACAGCTATAATGGCTCATTTTGTCGTCAGTCAAATTCTGGTAAAAACTGTTGTTCGAAGAAATAGCATTTCCTGATAAAATAAATATTAATTTATTTAAATATTAGTTTAACAAGCTTCAATATTGCAAGAAAAATTGAGAACTTGTCCGAGAACATAGCAACAACGCATTTCTAAATTTAAAATAATTAAATAAGTAAATTTTATAAAGTCGCGAGGGTTATTAAATCATAGTAAATTTAAAGACTTCCTGGCAATTTAGATCGTGAATATTTATTTATTTATTTATTTATTTATTTATTTATTTAAATATATAGCCCACAGATTTCTCCAAGAGGACTCAAAAATACAATTATTTGACATAATGAATAACAATTAAAATATATACAAAATTACAATATATAGTTAGTAACATAAAATGCTGAGATAAAATTTCATATAATGCAGAATGTAACAATAATATTTATAAACAGAAAATAATGAGATATTTGAAAGAAAATAAAAAGATTAACTTGTGCAGATGGAGATTATTTGATTAGGTGAAGTGTTGTGAATGTCTATTTCATTATTAATTAAGTTAAAGTTAGAGGACATTAGTAAAATTGGCGAATTTAAGAGAGAATTAGATTTAGGGGTAGGATAATTGAAAAATAATTGTGAACGCGAAGATAGCCTTGGAACATTAAAGGATAGTTGATTGAGAATAAGAGGACAGTCTATAGAATTATTGCAAAGCTTAAATAAGAACATAATTGTACAGATAAATCGACGTGAGGCAAGGGAAGGAATACCAAATTCTTTTAGTAAAGTGTTGTGGTCAAAGCCACGTTCAGGGTAAATTTTATATGTTTTATAATAAAGGTATTTCAGAAATTTTCGCTGAACCTTCTCTATCGCATCAGAGTTGTTGATATGATGAGGATACCAAATAATC